AGGGTAAATGTCGAAACGGGGAGCGTGGCTTGTTTTGTAGACAGTATCCTGTACGTGTGAAATAAAAGAGCAAAACAACGAATCAATATAACAAGAAGCGGGTCCTTGGAAGTATAATCCGTTTTGTTAAAAAAAATAAGGATTTGGATCTTATTTTGGTGTTATTTTGATAGCTGTCTTATTCCTAACACTTTGGACATAATAAATAGATCATTAGGTTTGGTTGTTTTATACTTTGCTGTTTTACTGTTTGGCGTGGGAGGGGGAACTCCAGAATTTACCCTAGCATTTCTGAAATGTTCAGATAAACTATACACGTGGGTATACCTTTTGGGGAGGTTAGCTGTAATTATCCCACTCCAACTGAGCCATTTTTGTGGTGTGGATCTGTTTTTGGAAAACTTTTTGGTAAAGGGGTCCAAGGGGCAGGATTCGAAGCTGGGAGAGTTGAGTTCTAGTCCTGACCTAGCTATGAAAGTCAGCTGGGTGACTTTGGACCAGTTGTTAGCCAAAGGAAAAACTAAAAAAAAAAACCAACCTAAAAAAAAAGGCAAAAGTGAGAATTAAGAAATTAGATGATGGGATTTACCAGAGGGAATATTTAAAAATTAAACATCTGTTTGAATATGGTTAAAGAAATAGAAAGATTTTGGATATAAATGAAGATTAGTTTAAGAGGGATAAGCCCCTCAAGTAATACAGTATTTTTTCTTTCTTTTTTCTTTTGTGTTTTGTTTTTTGACATGAGAAATATAAAAATGTTGGGATGGTTTATATAAAAGAAATTGTTTTCTTTTTTCCTTTTTTTTAAGATATGAGAATTGTAAAAGTGTTAGGATGGCTTGTATGAGAAAAAAGACAAATACTTAAGTGTAATTAATTTGGAGAAAATCTTAATCAGTAAGAATGCTTTGAATATTGGGAAAACAAATTTAAATAAGAATTTTGTAAACAGGATCTATGACGATACAATCAAGATAATCAATTAGAAAAGAAGCTTTATATTGATGGCGTTATTTGCAGAAACATGAGAAAAATGTCTATATTTAATTATCATTTACTCAAATAATAAGAAATGTATTAATTTAAGGTTGGCAAAAGAAAATATTATTGGAAGAAGAGAAAATCAAGCAAAGCTAGTCCATATAATTCTGTATGGACTATAGAATTATAGAAATTAATTGTTATTGATTGTTTTGTAAATACTAACCCAAACAACACTCTGTTTACCAAATATTAAGGTGATTATGTTAAAAATCAATAAAACATATTTTTAAAAAACTAAATGGCATGCCCCTTCTGAAAATGTCATTAAGAAACCTGTATGGATTTGTTCCTATGGTCACCAAGAATTAGGATTGACTTAATAGGATACTACCACCATGTTTATATGTAGATTATATGTTCTTTGAAATGTCTCCATGATAATTTTCCTTCATATTCTCTTTTGTTCCAAGGTCTGTGGCCAATCTTAAGTCATGTCCGTGGGCTGCATTTACACACGGCTGAGGCTTCTACTTCGACCACCCCGTTTGATGCTTTTCCATCATCCCAGTTGTGCCATCCATGCCTCCAGTGCCACACTTGCTGGACACAACAAGTGGTCCAAAGTCAGGCATATTAAGGGTCCTAAAGATATTGCACGTTCATTAGTCTTCCAAAAACTTACCATGATGATCCGTTTTGCTGTGAGGGGTACGGATCCAATATTTCACTGGCTTTTTTTACAATCAAAGTGAAGACTCCTAAGAACAGCTGTGGCTAAGCCACAATATGACATGAAGCCATAATGTGGTTGGTTTTGATGTTGTGTTGTGTGAATCCAGCCATTTGTGATTTACCATATGGAAAGCCATATTCCAGGCAATAATGGTTGGACAAACCTTTGTTAGCTAGGTGTGGTTCTTGTTGTGCTAACTTGTCTGAAGTGAGGGACTTGCAGAAAAGACAAGATTGTGACATGTATCCCTGTTTTCTGGCGAGCAGAACGGTCCTTTCTGCCAAGATTGTTAGGATGAGACAGTGACCTAACAGTTTGGTCTAATGATTAAGGCACCAGGCTAGAAACTAGGACTGTGAGTTCTAGTCCCACCTTAGGCACGAAAACCAGCTGGGTGACTTTGGGCCGGTCACTTTCTCTTAGCCCAACCCACCTCACAGGGTTGTTGGGAGGAAAATAGGAGAAGAAAGGAGTGTTGTTTCTGTTTGCTGCCTTGACTTATTTATAAAAATAATAAAAATGGGATGTAAAATTAATAAACCGGAGCTGTGAAACATGTTGCTCCCTATTTGCACTGAATGAGCTCTTCAGATTTAATAGAAGACATTCTGCATTTAAAACTAGGCTGGATCCTGAATGTTCTCTCCTTTCCTTAATTACAACATTTGGAAGAAACCACGGTGTGCGCATCCTTAATTATGTATAGTTGAACTCAGCTTTCTTGCACTAACTCAGGAGTAGGCAATCTTGGCTCTTTTGTGACTCATGGACTTCAACTCCCAGAATTCCTGAGCCAGCATGGCTGAGCTTGGAAACTCTCCTTTTCCCCTCAGCGTGGCTGGCTCAGGAATTCTGGGAGTTGAAGTCCACGAGTCATAAAAGAGCCAAGGTTGCCTACCCCTGCACCAACTGAACAAAATTCTCTTTTATTTCCAGTTTCCTAAAATGTAGTGTAGTGCTTCCTAAGCCAATGATAATGATCGGCCATCTCTTTCTGCATTGCCTTTTCAGAAGGAGGACCCAACCCACATCTTAACACTAATTTAGCCAACATTATTGAGGTGTGTCGAAGGAAGAATATGCCAAAAAACTCTATTGAAACAGCCATCTCTGGCGCGGTAGGTTTCTGAGTCATTGGGGGGTCTACATAAAGGGATGGCTATAGCCAAAGATGTACAATACAAGCTATGGCAATGCCAAAATGATGGTGGTGTCATCCTGTTGATAAAGCCACATGACATCATTGACAAGATAAGACTTATATACTTAGATCAGAATACAAGGCATGATTGGTGTTATTTGCTCCACGATATCACAACAAATGTACCTTCCCCCACACCCTTCCCTCTGAATGTCCCTGCTGACTCCTTTGTGAGCCAACAATAGTAGCAAAAAAGGGAAATGCTGCATCTATTTGGGGGCAAAACAGTTATTAGGACCAGCCAGCTTTTGGTCTCTATTTTGTGATTTTTTATTGCTGTTCGGTTTTAAATTCCTTTGTGGAGCTTGTACAGCAGAAAAGCAACTTAGAAATTTCTTTAAGGAATACATTTTTAAGGGATGCATTGAAGAACACTTGAAGACCACTTGGAAGCTACAACTGGTCCAGACAACAGTAGCATGTGCTGAATTAGGTGTTCCTTTGGTTTGGCCATATTACATCTCTGTTGTTTGAGCTGTACTGGCTCCCAGCTTTCTTCCAGGTACAATTCAAAGTGTTGGTTATCACTTTTAAAACCCTTCATGGAATAAGACCCAGATACTTGCAGGACTACCTCCTCAGAATAGCTGCCTATCCTAGGCAGATAGGCAGGCATGTTCCGGTCCCTTCCCTGAAATCTTGTCATCTAGTGGCACTTCAGAAGGGTACCTTTTCCATGGCTACACTACCTTATGAAACACCCTCCCTCTGGTGATTTGGCAGGCCCTCTTTTAGCTTTCTGGTATGCTACCAAGAGCTGGCTTGTTACCCAGATGCTAGGATAGAAGGAGGATATTTAGATTGGTTGTGGGGCATCTCAAGGAGATGACTTAAGTCAGGGGTCTTCAAACCTGGCCCTTTTATGACTTGTGGACTTCAACTCCCAGAATTCCTCAGCCAGGCACGTGTGCCTGGCTGAGGAATTCTGGGAGTTGAAGTCCACAAGTCATAAAAGGGCCAAGTTTGAAGACCCCTGACTTAAGCACTGCATTTTTGTTTTTATGGTTCTGTGGTCTATGATTTTGTAGTTACTGCTTTCATTGTTGTGAGTCGCCCAGAGTTGTGTTTAAGATAGGTGGCCACACAAATCTTTTAAATAAATAAACAAATGCATTTGGTTCCCGCTTTTGTTAAATTGCTTTAAAGGGGCAGCTGAGGACAATATGCTTGATACTTGAAATGATGGGGAAGGTTATGTGGTTTGCTGATAGTTATCATTATTAATTTCTTTGGCAGGAAAAGATGAAATCCATCTATCACTTCTGCAGTGTCCGAGGTCCAGGTGGCTCATCATTCTATGTCGAAATACTGACAGACAACGTAAAGAGGACTTCCAATGAAATCCGATATCTTTTAAACAAAAATGGGTTAGTGCAACCTAAGGAGTGTTGGCTGGCCAGTTTGCAAGAGATAGGAGGGGGGGCATGGAAGTTTAATGGAGATTTGTGGTCCTTTCACATCAGAGACTGCAGAAGTTCTAGCAAGCCACTACTTAATAAGTCTTAGGCCAGTGCTGGCGAACCTATGGCACGCGTGCCAGAGGCGGCACTCAGAGCCCTCTCTGTGGGCACGTGCGCCATCGCCCCAGCCGCCTCACCAGCAGCTCCCCTGGAAGAGAGTTGCCCCCAAGCGTGAAGCAGTGCAGCCAAGGACATGGCAGCCAGGCAGTGGTAACAAGACTGCATCCTCACGCCCTGTTGCACGGTTGATGCTGTGGGGCACTGGCGGATGGCGTGGCTGCCATGGCCCTGCTGGGCCGCCATGGCGATTGGCGGGCTGTGGAGGCAGTGAATGGCCCTATGGACGGGCGGGGGCAGGGCGGATGTGGGGCAGGGGCGGGGCTGGTTTTGGGCACTTGGTCTCTAAAAGATTCACCATCACTGTCTTAGGCTAAAGCAGTGGTGGTGAAGCTATGGCACAGGTGCCAGAGGCGGCACTCAGAGCCCTCTCTGTGGGCACACGTGCCGTTGCCCCAGGCTTGCCTCCTCCGTGACCTCCTCCTCAACAGCAGCCCCCCCCGGAGGAGAGTCACCCCCGAGCGTGGCCCACGCAGAGCAGTGCAGCCAAGGACATGGCAGCCAGACAGAATAGACAAGACTCTGCCCTCTACGCCCCATCGTGCACAGTTGATGCTGTGGGGTGCGGGCAGAGGGCGTGGCCGCCATAGCGCTGCTGGGCGATCTGCAGCGGGCCTTGGAGGCAGTGAGTGGCCCTGCGGGCAGGCAGGGGCAGGGCAGGGGGTGGAGCAGGGGCGGGGCCAGTTTTTGGGCACTCGGTCTCTAAAAGTTTCACCATCACTGTCTTAGGCTAAAGACTTGGTTCCTTGCAGGGGGAGCATTGCCGAAGGGATTCACAATCATTTTGAAAAAAAGGGGGTTGTGACTGTCAGCAAGGAAGACAAATCCGGCAGTCCTGTCAGCATGGATCAGGCACTTGACTTGGCAATTGAAGCCGGAGCTGAAGATGTCCAGGAAGAGGAAGAGGAGGATGAGAAGGTGGTGCTCAGGGTGAGTTGAAAGGGTGGGTTTAAATTCAGCAAAGTAAGCAGCACACATTTCCACTCTCTAAAAAAATAAATTAAAAAACGTTGCACCCCAATTGGTTGACCCAGCGAGGAGGTGAGGACAAACGTTTAACACATTTTGAGTGATTTCACAAAGCTTACACGGTTTGGGCTGAGTTTGTACTTGAATGGGAGATCACCAGAAAAATCCCAAGACTGTAGACTGAGGAAAGTGGGGGGGGGGGGGGGAACTCTTAAGTGAAAAAAATGGCAAATTCCCTGTAATTTCTGAGAATATTGCCCATAATGTCCATTGTCACTAGGGTTGAGCTCAAGCTGTGGAGTCTTTATAACAAAATCATTGGCTTGACGCTGAGTTTCAGTGGCACTACATGGAGGGGACTGTGGACTACAAAAATGAGTGTGTGTGTGGGGGGGGGGGGGTTGACCAAGAGAATCTTGCTTGCCCTGAAGTATAAGTTGGAGTTAAGGGTGTTTTTGTACAATTGATAAAATTTCATATGGCTTAGAAATGGTTCCCTATGCAAGACTATAGGTAGTCCTTGAGTTACGACTGTAATGAAGCCTGCCCATTAAGGTTGTAAATATCAATGGTTGTAAAACAGATTGGTCATGTGACCCACCAAATTTTATGACTTTTTTGCATTAAGCAAATATCATTAAGCAAATACTGCAGTTGTTAAACGAACTCACTGTTTGCTATAGACTATTTTTTCTGAATGCAGCAAAACAGTCATAAAATGTAGTTCATGTGGTCACAGGGCACGGGAGCAACCATTGGAACTTCGGATACAGGTCCTAAGTCCCCTTTTTCAAGTAGATCAGTGATGGCGAACCTTTTAGAGACCGAGTGCCCAAACTGCAACCCAAAACCCACTTATGCATCGTCGGGTGCCGGGTGGGTGTGGCCCATTGGCTGGATGTGGCCAATTGGGTGGGCATGGCCCATTGGGTGGGCGTGGCTGCGGTGGTAATGGCAGACGGGGTGGGACTAAAAAGTTCAATCAATCAATTCCAACTTTGCAAGATCTTTTTTTTCCCCGCAAGAAGTTGAAATTGACTGATTGAACCGTTTTTTGAGGTTTTTTGCATATGGCGGAGGCCTAAAGTGAACAGGTTTTATAAAACCCAGCTGAAGACCTAGGACTGAGGCGACAGCGCGCATGCCCACAGAGAGGGCTCTGAGTGTCGCCTCTGGCACCCGTGCCATAGGTTCGCCACCACTGAAGTAGATCATAACTTCAAACTGTTACTAAGTGATCAGTCGTAAGTCAAGGACTACCTATATACATTGTGGCTCTTGCCCATCCTTACCTCACCAAGATAGCAAACCCACCATGGAGATGCATGCCAGAGGAATATAGGACTGGATCCCTGCAAGGTAGCACACTGAAATCTCTCACTTGGACAGGATGTGCACCCAACAGGTAGCTGATCATTGATTTCCACCAAGTGCTTGCCAAGCTCTGTCAGAATTCACTCGTGCTCAGTCTGAACTAGACTCTTTCTAGATCAGGGGTAAGCAACCTTAGCTCTTTTATGACTTGTGGACTTCAACTCCCAGAATTCCTGAGCCAGCCATGCTGAGGGGAAAGGGAGAGTTTCCAAGCTCAGCCAAGCCAGCTCAGGAATTCTGGGAGTTGAAATCCACGAGTCATAAAAGAGCCAAGGTTGCCTACCCCTGGTCTAGACAAAGAACAAGTTGTAACAGCAACCGTGATCTAAATATGTAAATTCCTTGACTCCTGCAGATTAGTCTCCCAAAGAGTCAAACCCCCCCCCCCCCACTGTTGGAGAATCCCAAGGCATGGTTATAACTATTTGAACTTTTTAGACTTGATGAGGCGTTTTAGGTTTCTAGGCACTGGCTCTAACACTATATTTTTTCCTTCTTTTGTCTTCTCCACCGCTTAGTTTATTTCCGCTGTGTCCACCTTGCACCAAGTACGTGAAAAACTGGAGTCGCTGGGTCTTTGTTCATTGTCTGCTGGCCTTGAATTCATCCCAATTGTCCATGTCCAGCTATCAGACCCAGAGATAGAAGGGGCCGTGAGGTTGCTAGAGGCCCTTGAAGACCACGTAGATGTTGTTCGGGTATACAACAACATTGCATAGTTTTACCAGCATACTTCCAGGAGCTACTGAAGCCTTACCAGCTAAATTCTGGTATTATTTTCCCCCGATTCAAACCAAGACTATTAATGGTAAATGACATTTGCTATGTTTCTGACATGTCCATGTGCCTCTTTGCCCTCTTCTTCACGTTCCTTGTCGGAAGACAACCCAACGGCATGTACCAAATGTGGATGCTAGAAAAGTGCTGGAGCAAGACAGCTTGGAAATATCTAGAAATATCTGGGATTGGTTACTAGTTGCAATTGGAGGATAGTGTGGCTGTCTCATTAGCACCTCAATATAACAAACCAATCATATCCAAACAGATAATTCCCAAGCCAACAGTGATACATTAACTGAAAGTTCAGTAATCTTGATATAACTGGATACGTTCTTGGTCCATTTTTCCTGAGCTGTTGGGAGATAGTTCTGCCTTCTTCAAGCATGCAAGCTCGTAAAAAATCTTTACACACACACACCTCTCTACACATCTGAATTTATGTGTGATGGAACCAGTTTGGATACATACTTTGCTCCTTTGGGATGCCTCCACGATGGACAGTAAATGCATCCAAATAGCCATTCTGAATCATATTAAAGCATTTGTCCTGAAGAATCATTCAGCAGCAATTCACATCTGTGTTTCTAGAATCAGTATCACTTTGTTTTTCCCCTTAGATCAATTTGTTCAGAAATATTAATACAGAAACTGAAAGTTGGTATGCAAATGTCTATTTACATTGATAATTGTGCATCCACATATATTTTTAAAATGGCCGTTTGGTGTATGGTTCTATCAAATTTGAGAAAAAAAGTGTGTTTTGTAGTTGTGCGGCTGGCGTGTCTCAGATGTGTACAGGTACTCCTTGGCTTATGACCATAATAGGAGCCTGCCATTACAATTGTAGGACATGATGGTGGTAAAGCAGTTCACCCATGTGAGTGACTCAGTTTTACTTTTTTTGTGTCACTCAAATGAACGCAGCAGTTGTAAAATTAACACATTGCCGTGGGCCATTTTTATGGAAAGCCCAAAATATTATACTGATTTTCGGCAAAAGTGTTGTAACACGCAGGCATATAACAATGGGATACTGCAAATAGCTGTATATACTGAACACCCAATGTGCAGTCATGGGATGGGGGTTTTTTTTGGGGGGGGGCAGCTGCCAGAACATTAGAACCATGTCATAAGTACCTTTGGGAATTGGGGGGGGGATGTCCACTGCAACTTCAAACAGTTGCTAAGCAACTGGTCGTAAGTTGAAGACTATATGAATGCTGATGAATGTGTCTGTAAACAAACATCTACATATGTCACAATTGATTTGCACAGATAGGATTATGAGCCTATGCCAGTGATGGCAAACCTTTTAGAGATCGAGTGCCCAAAACTGGCCCTGCCCCTGCTCCACCCCCCCTGCCCTGCCCCCACTTTGCTCCCCCATCCCCCGCCTGCCCACAGGACCACTCACCACCTCCAGGGCCCGCCGCAGATCGCCCAGGCAGCCCAGCAGCGCTATGGCGGCCACACCCTCTGCCCGCACCCTGCAGCATCAACTGCATGATGGGATATGAGGGCAGAGTTTTATCTACGCTGCCTGGCTGCCATGTCCTTGGCTGCGCTGCTCCATGTGGGCCATGCTCAGGGGTGACTCTCCTTCAGGGGGGCTGCTGGAGAGGAGGGGGTTGGGGGAGGCAAGGCTGGGGCAACAGCACGTGTGTCCACAGAGAGGGCTCCGAGTGCCGCCCCTGGCAGCCGTGCCATAGGTTCGCCATCACTGGCCTATACATTACAAATTGGGGAAAGAAATCCTTTCCTTAAAAGGAGAATTCATTATCAGATGAGTGATACTATTTTTGTATTTATATTCTACTAATTCCATATGCATCGTCAAATTTTCTTCATAGGCAAATTTTAAGGCTTAGAACAAAATAGGTTGCAAAGTCGAGGCTTATGGACACTTTTTTTTTTAATATACTAAGAAAATAATGGGAGGGGGAAATCAAGATAATACAGGCCAGTCATTGTGTGCTTGATTTTGTGTGTGAATTTGGAAGTTGTATAACCAACAGTGTTTCTCCAATATTGGCATAGATGTGCTCCTGTTCTTCTCTGAAATATTATACTTTTTTCTAGTATACAATATAAAAAGTAAAGCAACACTTCAATTTAATTACTAGTCTATTAACATTCATACACTAGAAAATGGCACAGGAAGGGGAATTTACACAATCAGTTACAATGAGAAGGTATCTTAATACAATATTAGCATGGAGTTGACAGTATCATTGCCTAATGAGCATCACAGATAAACACAATATACAAAAACTGTTTTTCTTTAATAGTCATTTGAAGATTATGGGTAAAAGCAGAAATAACACCCCTTATAAATTCTACGTATTAATGTCTAAATGGAACACAAGACATGATCTAACATTACCTTTTCAATGAGGCTATGATGGAAATATTTTGAAACCAATTGCTAGCCCAGCTGCAGGAAAACTAAACAAGTAAAGTAGATGTTCATTTAATAGCAAGACTGTTTTTTTTTCTACCCAGGCATGTCCTTCTGTACTCCAGGGTTTGGTAAACTACAGGCTATATGCATTCCATGTTATCTCATATAGTCCCCAAGTAGTCTTTTAGCTGATTGGGATCAAAATGAAGGTTCAATTTCTAGTATCAGAACATGGAGAGTTATTTGGTTTCCCTAACTTCAGATGTTACAATATCACTGGATGTATTGGCTTAAAATAAGATTCTCAAGACCGTTAACTAGCTAGAAAGTCACAAACAAATATTACTGATAATCCTCACTTAACATTCTTCAGTGACACTTCAAAGTTACAATAATGTTGAATGAATGATGCTTATGCCTGGTCCTTGAAGTTATGGCCGCTCCAGCACCCCTGTGATCACATGATCAAAGTTGGGCACTTGGCATGCCACCTGCATATATTATCACAGGGTGCACTTCAATTAACTCCATCCGCCTACCTCCCATCTTTGCCCTTTTGGCTGTTCTCTGCTTTACTTCCCCCTGTGCTCTGCCAGCAGCTGCAATGCAAAGGCCAACAAGTCAGGCACACATCATCAGCTGTGGGAGGAAGATGGGGGTAAGCTGGGGGGAGCAGGGGAGCGCAGGATACCGAAAAAGGCAAAGATTGGGATGAGATTGTAGATGGAGATGAGGTGGAGGCGAGTACAACAGGGCAGGAAATGCGTGCAGTCCTCACTTAACAATGTGCAACTGTGACTATCAAACATTCCAATGCTAAGTGGTGTGGTTATATAATCTTTCACTTAACAGCCACATCTCTTAGCAATGGAAATTCCGGTCCCGATTCGGGTTTTTAAGTGAGGATTACTTGTAGAGCAGGGGTGGGCACCTATGGCCTTTTATGACTTGTGAACTTCAACTCCCAGAATTCCTGAGCTTGCTACAGGTCATAAAGGGGCCATAGCTGCCCACCCCTGCTATAGAGGGTAGCCAATTTGGAAGGGCACGTATGCCTATGTAGCAGTCCTTGCTCCTGGTTACATCTGGACAAGCCAACAGCTTGTTTGTCCAGGCAGAGTGCAGGTGTGGCTTTAGCACATGATTTCTGTACAACAAGCCAGACTGGTTCCCACTTGGGACAAGCCAATGACAAGATCTTCTGTAGCTGTTCCTCTACAGAACAAACACTGCTCCAGAATAAGTGAACTGGAAATGAGTGTGGCTGCCTCCAAAATATAGCCACAGTATTGGTAATTTTGCAAAAAGTAAGCAATCTCGGCCCTTTACTGATAAACCCTGATTTGAAGAATTCCACAGCCCCCCTTAAAAGCCCTGACCCCCCTAACGTAGTTTTTAAATTACTTCTATTCTTATTGATCCTGGGGAAAACTTAAAGAGATAAAGCGGGTGCTTGGAGCCACTGTAAATCTAAAGGTAAAGGAAGAAAAAAAAACCTGAAAATTTCAATCAAGCCCATTCTAGTGATAAAAGGCAACTCTGCTCTCCCCGTAGAGGAGCTAGAAAGAAAGGATGATGCAACCTTAAAAGCTGCCTTCTGGCTGTTCTCAATCAGGGTCAGTTTCTGGACTCGGAGGGAGGGGGGACTCAGCCGAAGTAGCACAAGGCAGGAAAAGTTCAGTGTAGCCGTTTCCACAGGGTGGAGAAGGAGAAGCTGCAGGGAAGTCTAGATTCATAGACCTGGCCAAATCTTGACTCTGGAACACCTCAAAATCAATGCCCGGGTTCCCTGGAGACAGCCCCTCAGGAGGGTGTCCATCATTCGGGCGACAGATCTCAAAGCGGCACCAGCGGTACCCAGCACACTTGTGTGCACCTGGGCAGCTCTGGACAAGGTGTTGGACTGCGGGGTGTGACAGCCCAAAGAATTCGGCCCCTGCTGGCTCAAGCTGGCCAGCACCCACTGCTTCCAACAGCTGAGCATGGCAGGCATCCGGGGTGGACCCCATTATTACAGCTCCCAGTTCGTCTTCAGGGGCAATTTCGAAGTGTGGCCCGGTGCCCCCGTCCTTGATCTGGCAGGTGTAGAGACAGCGGCAAGTTGGCCTGTGGGTGCTGGCAAAAACCCTGGTACTGCAGTATCCCACCGGGTAGATGGCATTCTCTGTGTGGAAACCAGGACGGTCGGAGATGATCTCACCCAGACTGTAGACAGTCAGTGGACCTAAAGCAATAGGAAAAATCGGTCGTCCGGCAGGATCTAAGGGAAGCGGGGGGACCAGCCGGCGGATGCCCAGCTCCAGGGGTGCCCTGCGTTTGGATGCTCGGCCATTCTCTTTGCCTTTGCGCTCCCGGCGAATTTTGCGAGTAGCCGGCTCATCTGGGGATGGTTGCAGGCTGGCTGCCACAGCTGGTGTGGGTGAGTCTTCTTCAGCCAGGGCTTGTGCTTGCAACAGGCGAGTAAGCAGGAAGCGGCGCTCTTCACGTGCCTGCAGGTATTTGGTCTCCATCCGGGCAACCTCATCACACAAGGCTGCGTTCTCGTAAACCAGCACCTTGGCCACACGGCAAAGACGCTGGAACTTCAAGCGATAACGTTCATCCTGGCTTTTCCGTAGGTTTTTCTTCATCGTGGGCAGCAGAAGAGAAGAAACGGAGGTAGGCAGTAGATGGCTGTAGGGAAGAAGAAAAGTCCCAAAGGCAATTTCAGCAAATAGGTAAATATTTCCAGCTCAGTCTTGTCCTAGCAATCAATCAACCATGCATAAATTATGAATATGGCAAGGCTGGCTACTTCTAATCAGACACAAGCATATTGTAACGTACAACTGTACCACTGTGGCCTTCTAAAATGAGATTCAATATACTTAAGAGCATAGCTTTGTTTTCACACAAGCAGAAAAAATGCAGAAAAGGGCAAGTCAAATAATTAAAAAAGCCAAAGTTACAACATTTTGGGATTTTAATATTTTTAAAAAGTAATACAAAATATAATTCCACAAACTTATGGATCCCAAAGCATCTATTGGCTATCCAAGAAGAAAGAAGAAGCTTGGTGCAAGTGGTCCTCATTTAGTGATCACAACTGAGACTGGCACTCAGTTAAGCAAAGCAGTTGTGAAACTGCAACTGCTTACAATCTTACACCAGCTTTCCTTTGCTTTACAGACCTGTGAAGGTCGTAAATGTGATTGGTCACAAAGCTCCTTTTTCATCACTGTCGCAACTGCAAATGGTCACTATACCATGCAGTTACTAGACAAGGACTACCTGTTTTAGCCCCTGGATGACTGCTATTGAACCAGATTGTGGGGAAAACCCTTTGTCTAATTCAACATAGGTCTCTCATATGGAACAGCCACATTTCAGTTTCAGAGCTGTTCCATTTAAACAGAACCCCTTTTCACCTTCCCAGTGTAACCTTTTTCCTTAAAAGTTCAGCAAAACAATGATCCTGGTAAGAAATTTTCCTCCACATTTACCTATGCAAAGTGCTAAAAAGGGCGGAAATTATGGCAAAGAGGAAACTAGAATAAAATAAACAGAAAGGTAAGGACACAGCAATGAAAAATCAGCAACCCACAAGAAGATAAGGCAGAGCTGGCTTTGCCCCGAGGTGCCTAAAATAAAGCATGCCCAGCTTCATTTGTGGGTAATGGGCCCATAACTCTGTTATCTCTTGGTCACCTAGCTGGCTAAGCATCTGTAGTCCCAGTACCATAAAGGGACCCCAGGTTGGGAAACTATCTTTAATGGAATTTGCTTTTAAAAAAGTAATACAACAGGCATCCACTTTCATGGCTTCCAAAGTGAACATTGACAAACTGAGGGCAGACTAGATCAATTACTTACTGCCATCACAACGGGCAAATAAAGCCCCCCACTCCAGTTAAAAAACAATATATCATAGTATTTCTGAAACATGGCGACTTTAAAACACGTGGACTTCATCTCCCAGAATTCTCCAGCCAGCATGAGGAATTCTGGGAGATGAAGACCACGTGTCCTAAAGTCGCCAAGTTTCAGAAATGCTGATCTATCAACTACTACCTGGAAATGGAAAGTTATAGTGGTTTGGCCACTGCGGGTGACCAGGATAGCAGCGAGACTGGATGCAATTCAGCTGCGGTCCTTCGCACGTTCTAGCCAGAATTCCCCGCTCTTTTGCTAGAAACGCAGAATTATTCGAAATAAGCATTTGCAATTATGAGATGACTTGCAAAGCATATCATCTGCCCGCCTCCTCCTCTCCTAATCGAATTTATCATTGCAGAACTCTCGCCACCGGATTCTCACCCCGAGATCGCAGCAACCCGCCTTCTCAGATCCCGGAGCAGGAAGCGGAAAGAGCGGAGGCTGCGAGATCCCCTCCCCCCTTGACGTCTCTGCCTTGCTCTGCTGCTGGCGTAACCCTTTGCTTGCTGAGGAAGGATTAGCGCCTTCTCGCGGCGGGCCTTGCTCCTCTGCCTTCGAAGGGGCAGGGCGGGAATTCAACCTAAGGCAGGGGTCTTCAGACCTGGCCCTTTTATGACTTGTGGACTTCAACTCCCAGAATTCTTCAGCCAGTGTGCCTGGCTGAGGAATTCTGGGAGTTGAAGTCCACAAGTCATAAAAGGACCAAGTTTGAAGACCCCTGGTCTATGGAGTCTTCGCAGCTGCATCTCTGGCAGAGGAGCCTCAGCAGTTGCTTCTGTCTGGCCCTGATCAATGCACAGGAATCATGTGGCAACTTTTTCTTCTGAAGGAGTGAAGTACAAACCAGAATTCTTTTTGGAAAAGAGGTTGAGAAGATGGAGTGATTGGGGCATGTAAATTAAACAGATCTGTATATCTGCAAGATTACGACTGATGAAAATATCGTACAGCCTCGCTCTTGGTTCTGGTTCACCATTACGCGGAATAATTATTTAGCAGCTGAGTTTTAACACTACAGGTGCAGGGCTTCTCAATCTTGGCAACTTTAAGATATGTGGATTTCAACTCCCAGAATTCACCTGCTGGCAGGCTGGTGGGGGAATTCTGGGAATTGGAGTCCACCCATTTGAAAGCTGCCAATCTTGAGATGGAGAACTCGGGTCCCAAGGCAGCCAAAGATGGAAATGAGGCAACTTAGAGCAAGGAGAAGAGAAGGTGTGTCTCAGGTTGCTTAGAGAAGCTACACCTTGGCTGGGTTTGGGGTGTGTGTGGCATATGGAGCGGCCAGTGTTCTGGTGGGCAGATCCAGGTCATGGCAGAAGAAGTAATCCAGGCAGGAGGCTTGAAAAGGAAGAAAGAATTTGAGCAGAGTATGCTCAAGAAGGAACAGGAGGATTTCAAGCAAATCCGCAAAGGGTTCTTAAAAAGGCACAGCCCCCGCCCCCCGCCCCCCGTGTATGTGTGTAGAATGTGTGAAAAGAACTGAAGACTGCTTGTATGGAGCAATCCCTGCATTTTGCTCAGAAGAAGCTTGGCACCGGAGCCCAATCACTCTGTGTTCATAAATTAATTTTCAACTGCAAATGGCCGTAAAGATGAGCTGCTTGCCAAGCACCCAAAATGCAATCAAATGACCTTGGGTGTATGCGTGGCTGTCATAAGTCCACAAATGGGTCATAAGAAGCTCGGGGGAGATCTGTTGTAACTTCAAATGCTCATTAAGTGGCCAGTCATAAATTGAGGATTACCTGTGGTTGAACAAAGCAGGAAGATATTGGAACAGGGTTAGTCTAAATCACAGGTGTCAAACTCGTCACGTGACGTGTCATGATGTATCGTGACTTTTTTTTTGCATTGCTGGAGCTGGGGTGGGCACAGCCTCTGCGCGGGCCAGCAGTTTGACACCCTGGTCTAAATCAGTATTTACTAGCTGGAGAATTCTGGGAGTCCATCAATCTTAAAGTTGCCAAGTTTGAAAAACACTGGTCTAAATGTACTAGTCTTGGGGCATCTGAAAGGCTGATATTTCTACTGTGGCGTAAACATTTGCAACAGTGGTTCCTTCTTCTAAAGCAGGATGCCTATCTTCGAAGTTCTTCATACAATATAAGCAGTGCTTTTTTTGTAAAAAAAAAAAAAAAGTGCCAGAACTCACACACGTCATACAATCCGCCTTGCCTACCCTTACAAGGTTCCATCCAAAAAAGGTGCCGGAACTCTGTTCTGGGCGTTCTATGACCAAAAAAAGCCCTGAATATAAGTGAAAAAGAGTCTTAACAACAGTTGCAGCATCCAGCAGTAACATGATTGCCACTGCTGACTTTCCCAGCTGGCTTCTGACATGGTAGATTAATGTCAGCTCACAAATTGCAGTCATCTGATGTTTCGTTTGACAACCATGAGTACTTCAAATGTGAAGCTGTTTATTTACATCTGGGTTTCAGTGTCTTTCTCAATGGCATTTCTGATTTCGAAACCCCAACTCAACCAGGTTACTCTTCTGCTTGTCCTCTGACTTCAGACCAGTGAGAAATTCCTGTTTGTGAAACACCATTATTTTCACCAGAAGACTGATCCAAACAAAAGCTATCACCCCTTGACACAAAATGTTGACATTAAGTCTTGCCTGCAGGTTTTTGCTTTGTACTCTTGTGGTCTGAATTTTATTTCAATATAGGCTGTTTTGAAACACTCAGAGCTGTAGACAAGCCTGGGAAGTTTAAAAAAAAAATCAGAAAAAAACTAGTAACCCATTAAACCAGGGGTTTTCAAACTTGGCCCTTTTATGACTTGTGGACTTCAACTCCAGGCGTGCCTGGCTGAGCAATTCTGGGAGTTGAAGTCCACAAGTCATAAAAGGGCCAAGTTTGAAGACCCCTGCATTAAACATACATGTAATCATGAAGAGTTTTGCTCAAGTTGTGGGAAAGGCTTTGATTTTAGTAATTTTTAAATGAAACCTCCCCTTACAAAACTGAAGTACTCTGCAATATATATTGTGACTTGGATGTATGATTAGAGGATTAATGCTATCCAGTAATTAATACTTAAAATTAATTAAAAGAAGACCCCCATCCATGTGCCGTCCATCTCTTGATTTGGGTTTTTGTATAGTTTTAAAAATTTTAATTTGTCATTTTAATATTTTAATATATTTTAATTTTTGTGTATTTTATAGCCTGTGAGCTGCCCAGAATAACCTAACAGAGAAGATGAGCAGCATACAAATTTAATCAACAAATAAAATATAAAGAAAGAAATGCTGAAGATATTCTGCATATAGCAAACAAGATCTGGCTTTCTCACTATAGTTTGGTGCCTCCCCCCCCAAAAAAGGAAGCTGACAAAAGAGAAAGAAATTACACCAGCTCAAGCATCTGTGATGTTGGAAATCATTCGCCAATGTAGTCGCACTTTCTCTGAATGTAGAGGTAAACTTCAAAAAACTGTACTGCCCAGGACATGCTCCCATAAGATGGCAACTAACATAAAGTTCTGTACTGGGCTGTCTTGACTTGCAGTTCCCTCAAGGGGGCAGTGGAAGCACGCTTTCCGTGGTTTACTAGTGCTAAATCCTCAGTAGAATGCTTGAATAGACTTTACAACCTGGAAGGAAAGTAGGCTGTACCTGTTGAATTTCAGCTTGTTCGGTTGTCAGTGATTGGGAGTGTCTGTCCTAGGAAAATCATCTGTTGCATGAATAGGTGAGTGCGAGATGCGTCTGATCCT